TACAAAATCGAAACCTGCGAGGTATTGTTTTCCTTTGATGATTTGGAGGCCTTAAACTGCTCCTATTGATTCAAACCGCACCTCTATGGATTCCTTATCTTGAGATATTTCTTTTTGCACCTCACACGACGTAATTGGATTAGTATAGCTCGAGATATGGCTCCAACAGTGAACTCCATGAATTGGAAAACATCCTTGCGGCCAACTCTTCTCCCTCGCTCTTTTCTTTGGGTTGTGCTGTTGGAAAAATGTGTTAAAAATTGCATTAAATGGTCATTTTGGGGCAATTATTTGAGTGGGGTCCACTTCCGATTTGGGTCGGGTCAAAGTGGTTACGGATTGTCCTTGTTAAGGGCTACAATTCGATATATGGTACGCTCAAAACGGATAACGGGTGAATGAGAAATTGATTCTCGAAGTTCACTCGTTGAAATGGAAAAACTGGGAAAAATGGTGAGTTTCTAGTGTGTTTTATCCCACACCGAAAAACTCAAGGGATTTTCACCCCCTTATAAAGGGAAGCCTCTTTTAAGGAGTTAAGATTCCTAAAGGGAAAGGCTCTCTCTTACGCGCAGGGGGGGGGGGGGTGCGCGGACAAGAAAAACCTGCGGACAGAACCCCTCCAAGGGGTGTTCTGTTGGGGTCTTCTGCCGCGCACTTCTTCCGTTACAACAATTAATGCCCAACGTTCTTATCTTTTAATGCTGCGTTAAATGGACAGTTTATGGACGATTCAATGCCCAACGGACTGGTCATTGATGTCCAACGTTCAGGTCCATTAACACCCCATTTAACACACAACAAATCCTCCTATAAATAGCTGGCAGGTGCTTTGCAACAAACACACGGTTTGACAACGCACAACACTTTCCTCACGTTTTCTTGAGCTACAAACTCTTCCAGCTACTCCCAAAAATTCCTTCTGTGTTCATACTTGGTTCTCGTTCGCTGGAACTCTTGTTTGTGTGATCAAACATTAGTTCGTAGTCATCGTATCCTGGGAAACGATTGTTGCAACGCTCCTAGCACCGTGGGAGGCAACAAATACGTTTTAAGGAAATCGTGCGTAGCACGAGCTTTGGCTAATTCTGCTTCATCTCCTTTCTTGTTTTTATCTAGTCATTTTATTTTATTAATTTATTTTAATTAATTTTCTTTATTTTCCGAAACACACCCAACATGTGCGGCTCTCACCTTTTCCTTATCCTACCAGTTAGAAATGGGGGTTGTGATAAGGCTTAAGGAGTCCTCAAATGAAGATATAAATCGTGTGGTTCACAAAAAGAAAGGGTAGGGTGTTTGATTCCAATCAAACATGGGAGGGATGGTCCTCCTCTTTTATTTCTCTTTTGTATTGTTTGAGCTCTCAACTCAATAGGTCCGCCCTATTTATGGGTTCTAAATTATTCTCCTTGTTTTTCAGGTGCTAGGAAGGTGTGGGGCTCCCTCTTATGTCCCCTAATTAATTTGGGAGCAAAATATCTACCAATATTTCCAAAAGTGGAAAGATGGGTCCTATTGTTTTTGTCCTTTGTCATAAGATGTACTTTTTGTACTCATCCCAATTTATGTAGATCAAGCCAACCTTCTAAATAATATTATTGATCTCCAATATGTGTAGGATGGTCCCAATAATTTATATGATGTATAATTATAAAAGAAAACCCTAATCCCATTATTTAGCCTAATAATACCAAAGATGGGACCATAGACATTTGTATTATTCTCTAATCATTCTATCACTTATTTATGACATTAATATTCATGTATCTGGGCTAGGACGCCATTCTTGAATAATTGCTATTTTAGCAGGTTAGACCTGAAATAATATTTGGGCTGCCCGACCGCTCTTACTTTGTACCGAGGGGTTACACATTTTTATTTAAGAATGTTGGGCCCAATATCAATAAGATGACCCAATTAATTATTTAGAAGTCCATTCCTATTATACGAGCCCAAACAGTAATATGATTAATCACACTTTACGTAGAACTTTAATCGTTTTACAATTGTTCGATAATATGGAAATTCAATACATAAGCTCTGAAATTTAGTCTGAATTTCAAGGACGTTCGGGTGCGGTGTCACACTATCACCCTAGTTTGATGAAGAAGGACGACGTTAGACGCATGTCCCTTGATGACGATGGCATTGATGAAGCCGTACGTCATGTGAAGGACCAGGCTTTTATGCTGGCCTGAAGTTGAAGGACGACGGTGGACACACGTCCCTTGATGTATACGGCGTTGAAGAAGTCGTACGTCATATGATGGACCAGGCTTTGACCCTGGTTTGAAGATGAAGGGCGGAGTTGGACGCACATCCCTTGGTGACGATGGCGTTGATGAAGTCGTACGTCATATGAAGGATCAGGCTTTCAACCTGGTTTGAAGATGAAGGGCGGCGTTGGATGCGCGTCCTTCGATGATGATGGCGCTCATGAAGCCGTTCTTCATATGAAGGATCAGGCTTTTATGCTGGCCTGAAGTTGAAGGACGGCGGTGGACGCACGTCCCTTGATGACTACGACGTTGAAGAAGTTGTACGTGATATGATGGACCAGGCTTTGACCCTGGTTTGAAGATGAAGGGCGGCGCTGGACGCACGTCCCTTGGTGACAATGGCGTTGATGAAGCCGTATGTCATACGAAGGACCAGGCTTTTATGCTGGCTTGAAGTTGAAGGACGGTGGTGGACGCACGTCCCTTGATGACTACGGCGTTGAAGAAGTCGTATGTCATATGATGGACCAGGCTTTGACCCTGGTTTGAAGATGAAGGGCGGCGCTGGACGCACGTCTCTTGGTGACGATGGTGCTGATGAAGTCGACATCATATGGAGGATGGCATTGGGGATGCTCGTCCTCTGATGAAGGACGGTGCTGATGAAGTCGGTCCGCTGATGATGGACAAGGATTTGGCGCCTGTTTGAGAATGGACGGCGTTGATGACGCTCATTCGATAATGGAGGACGGCATGGGACGCCCATCCTTTTCTGAAGGACAAGTCGTTGGCCCTCGTCTGATCCGCATGTATGGTCTTGCTTTGTCCATAATGCCTAGTGTTTTCCTGATATGTACTTACTCAAATATGTGTCTTGATTTGTGGGGATTCTATTTTTATTTCTCGAGGCTGGCGAGTGCACGGTCCTCGACTTCCCTCTTTTAATTTGTGGGGATTTCGCTTCAGGCTGGCGAGTGCATGGTCCTTCGGCTGTCCCTCTTTTATTTGTGAGGATTTCGCTCGAGGCCGGCAAGTGCACGGTCCGTCGGCTGACCCTCTTTTTTGACTTCCTCTTTACTTCTTTGAGCGAGGAGTGCGAGATCCTTCTTTCAGGGTCGGCCGAGGGGGTTGCTATTCCCTTGGCCGGTAGGGAGTACATGAGGGCGGTTGTTAGTCCTCTGGCGCTGGATCGTCTTTTGATCTTGGGGGATCCCGTCGTCTATTTACGGTGCGGGCTAGACTTTCGGTCGGTTACCGAAGTTTGTCATTTTCGAACCCCAAGTAAGGGGATTTTGTCACCTCAACCATTCTTTCAGGCCTGTCGCCCTGCGATTTAGTGCGAGGACGATGCGGTAAGCTTCACGTTTCAAGACGTGGGCCATTTTGCGGGCCCCTCGTCTTGGGACATCGTCGGCCATACCTGAGCGTTTCGCTCTAAGGGGCTAATACGATGTGCTGTGTTGTGTGGCATCCTTTACTTAAATTTACAAAAAATAAGTGGAGCACGATAAGTGTGTTGTTCATGGCAACGACTTTTGGGCGACGCGATTAGCGTCTCGGAGATTGAGGTGTATCATTTACCGCTAATGACGTTTTTAATGGACATGATCGTTGGACATCAATGGCCAACATGTTGGCATTGATTCGTTCGTAACTGTCCATTTAATTGCATGACTGTTGGGCATTTATGGCTTTGTAACAGCGGCAGCAGGCTCCTCTTCGCGCTCAGGGGGGGCCTACTGCGGCATGAGAGCAGTGCCCTGCTCCAGCCGACTGCACCTGGAAAAAAATAGGAAAAAAATGGGAAGAACAAAAATTTAATCTTATCTTTAGAAGATAGTTTTTCGAACGGAATTCATGTCCGCAGGTCGCCCGCGCACACGAGTCGCGTTTTTTCTTCTCCGTTTTCGGGGTTTGATCGGCACCCCCCTGTGCGCGAAGAGAGCCTTTCCACCTAAGAATCTTAACTCTTTCAAATGGGGTTCCCTTTATAATGGGATGAAAATTCCTTGGGTTTTGGGGTGTGAGATAAAACACACTAGAAACCCATCATTTTCTTAGTTTTCTCCATTTCAACGAGTGAACTCCGAGAATCAATTTTTCATTCACCCGTTATCCGTTTTGAGTGTACCACATATCGAATTGTAGCCCTTAGCAAGAACAATCCGAAACCACTTTGACCCGACCCAAATCGGAAGTGGGCCCCACTCAAAATATTGCCCCAAATTGACCATTTAATGCAATTTTTAACACATTTTTCTAACACTTATTACCTTTCAAAATGTTTAAACCAAATATATTCACAAATGAAATAGCTTACTTACTACGATAGTATAAATTACATGTCGAATAACAGTTTAACATCTCTCCCTTAGTCCTTGGTTGCAATCTTAATTTCCATAGCTAGAAAATCTTCATTGAATCATTTGAGCACTGTAGCTCCCACGTTTGAAAATGGTGTGTCAGACCTCCGTTCGTTCGAGCACTGTAGCTCCCACGTTTGAAACGAAAACAAAAGGAAGAGGGGGTAGCTGAAGACAGAAAAGGAGAAAAGAAGGAATGAGGGAGAAAGAAAAGGAAAAAGGAGAAAAAAATTGATTATTTATTATTTAGTGTGTCAATGGTTTACACGTTTTGTATACACATTTTGTGTACACCTAACATTTTTTATAGAATTTCCCGAATACGCACTTCAAGCTTCCATGAATAATATCGGTCTGTGCGGCCAATTTGTGGTTTCTATTTGGCCCAACTGTACATTCTGCATATCGGCCCAACTACACATTCCAAATTGAAATTGTACCTCCAGCGCATCGCTCATTCTTACTTCCGATTTCTTTCTGCCATTACTCCAACTCTAGAAACATCTTTCCTTCCCCTTCGGCTCACAGGTCGATTCCACAATTCACTTTTCTTCCATATCCATAAAGGTATTTCATTTTCTACGCTAAGCTTTGGTCTGATGCTTAACAGATATTCTCAAACAAAAATTATTTATCGTTTTAAAACTATACAGACAACAAATTATTTGATGGTTTTATCGGTAATAAATTTTTAGATCGGTCAAAATTCGAAACACGAAACAATGCTTTACATACCTTCTATCAACCCTATGCTTTCGAAGATGTGTTTGAATCAACACATTACATCTTTGTTTTCACATTTCAGAAAAGTATATGCTTGGTTATTTAGTTATTTATAAGCTGGTATGTGGTTTCTATTAACTCTACTATTTTCTATGCGGTACAATTTTATTATTTGTATCGCCTTTATATGTTGCATTTAGGAAAAATGTGTTTTTGGTCAGCTTCCCCCCCAAAAAAGTATTAGTAATGCCTTTTAGGGAAATTTCATACTACTAATTCTTATACTCCGTATGACTTATTAGCTGCTCCTTATTATTTTTGGGATAAAAACATGAAATTCTTCTTTATCTAGGACCAAACAGATATTATTCTCGGAATACATACACTACAGTCTTACGTAGAGAATGTAGCTATTTTTTATTATCATTATTACTATTATTATAATTAAGATCATCATCATTACTACTACTACTATTACTATTTCCATTAATGTAATTATATCTAGATAGATCTAATAGAGGATTGCAACCTTTGTGGAAAATTCTAATGAACATAATTGAAGAAGTAAGCAAGGTTGTTAAACCGGATGGAAGAAGGCTTTGAGAATAAGCAGAAGATCAAATCTTAAATAACAGGATAAATCAAGAATCCCACCAAGAATTGGGGGATTTGGGTGAAAAGAAAAAATGCACAAATTGGCTAAAGTAAACAAAAAAATTACTTGAAACAATACATAATGTCTTAAACACGATTTACAAGCCAGTTGTCATAGTTTCCACAAACAATAAACACAAAACATTTTTGAAATCCATAAATGACTCATTGAAACACATATCCTCATCAATAGCGCCAAAGCCATTGCTTTTAATTAGGGTTGACTATCACAATTTCCTCATGAATATCATTGTTTATTTGAATCTATGCATACTTTATTAGATCCTGTTATGGTTCTTGTTTTAATATTCGTAGATATATATTTTATGATGCAATTCGAATAAAGATTTTTTCCTTCAGATCTAATATTGTACGATTCCTTTCTTCGTTTCTGAATTCTGATGCTGTTCATTTCTTTTTCCATGTTGGTAAATTATAAAAAGAAATGCAGGGTGGAAGAGATCCTTTCTTTGGCTTTGGAAACCCTTTTGGAGGTAGTATTGGTGGATTTGGATCTGACAGAAGCTTAATGTCAAGTTTTTTTGGCGGGAGGGATCCTTTTGACGATCCGTTCTTCACACAACCGTTTGGAGGCATTTTTGGGCCAGGCATTGTTGGGCCCGGTGAACAACAATTTATGGGCCCAAATCAGGCTAGATTTCATGAAGCAATGTGTTTTCCTCCTAGCAGAAGTCAATTTATGGGTTCACATCCAGTTGAACTCATTGAACACCGACCCGTCCCACCCACTATTTCCCGTGGGCCTATAATTGAAGAGTTAAATTCTGATGATGAACATGAAGAGAAAAAGGGGACGACTGGGAAGGGAAATCCAAGAAAGCATGGAAGATTGAGTGAAGAGGCTTTTGTTCAAGACCCAGAAGGTGCCTAAGTGTTTATCTTTCATTTTTCTCTTGTGATTTCTTATTGAGTTATTCTAATGCATTGTTATTTTATCATGGTAGAGCGGAGGAGTAAGCAAATTCACTATGCGAATGATTTTAGTCTGAAGCAACATTTTCAACCACATCCACAGGCTCAAAGTTTTTCTTTCAAGAGTTCAACTGTTTCTTATGGCGGGGCTAATGGTGCATATTATACTTCATCTAGAATCAGGGGAACAGGGAGTGATGGTGTAAGTAAATTAATTAGGCTTTGAATAATTTATATATATAGTTCTTTTTATTCAACACCAGAAAAATAGGCTATCCATCATTATAGACTATCAATTTGGACTTGAACTGTTGAAACTATTAATTCAAGACTTCAATTATCATGAATTTCCTTTATTTTGTACTATGTTCTTTATCGTTTTTACTTTTTTAGTAGATTGGTTATAAAACTTGGGGCTCAGCTAACTACAACCCTTATGGATTTTTTGAAATATTTATGAGATATGAATATTTTTTATGGTATCTATTACAATATTAGTTAACTAGATCATTAAAGAAGATTATTCATATTTAGAATTCCAATAACAAATAATCATCAAAGGGCCCATTCATTATTGAAAGGGTTGACATTTATTGAAAGTTACTTATGATCCATTTGTTTCAAGCGTTTGAGGTGAATTTTGGTACTGTTAGTTTAATTTTAGGTTCACCTCATTTGTTTACTATCTTAGAACACGATTTTTTTAAGAGAACCTTCTAGTCGGAGGTTGTTAGAGGTTTTCGGAGGTTAAGGATGCTTTTACTTGGACTGTAATTTTTGTGGTCTAATTTGTTTAAATCTGGTTTGGTTTGGTAGATGTCAATTTTACAACTTCCGAAGTCTGGACTAGGACTAAAACCAGCCCAAGTAAAACCATCCTAAGTTCTCTTTATAAGTAATAGAGAAAAAGGAAATTACCCAAAATAGGAGTAAATGAGGTTTGAAATTCCAAAATAGGACTACTATATTTTTTTCCCACGAAATACAAGTGGTTATTGCCATGTATGAAAAAACTGTCATAATTGAAAATACAGTCATTAATTATAATTAATACTGTCATGTTAAATGCACTGTACTGCAACTATTTGACAGTCACACCTACATGATGACAATAAATACTGCCATGTTAGTCCTATTTCTGGAATAAAAACATAGTAGTCCTGTTTTGGAATTCCAAACTCCATTTACTCCTATTTTGGGAAATCTCCCTAGAGAAAAGGGTCAAATAAGGTCTTCTACTATTATGAAATCATCATATATGGCCATGTACTAAATAAAGTTATCATATAGAGACATCTACTTATAAAAAGCGATCGGATGAGTCCTAATGACCTTTTGACAATCTCGCAATCCCAATTTAGCGTACACCTGACTATCTTTTCAAAATACATTATAAGGCTGACGTGGAATATTTAGCCAATATTAGCTTAAATGCACGGAAAAGGTAACGACACATACGCTAAATCGGGATTAGGAGGTTGCCAACTGTCCGTTAGGACTCATTTGATTGCTTTTTATAAGTAGATGTATGTATGTGACACTTTATTGAGTACATGATCTTATGTGATGATTCTGTAATAGTAGAAGGTCTTATTTGACCCTTTCCCCCCAAGTAATTAAGTAAATGCATTCTCGTGGAAGTAATTGTTAAGTAATATTAACCATTAAGTAATTAACATATTCACCTAGGTTAACCTACGTGGAAATAAAGTTGTACTGCATTCACGTGCGTCAACAATGTTATATATGCAGCTTGGTTCACCCAAATTTTGTTAAACCTAGTTCACTTAAGGTCACCCGTTTTACTGAAATTCACTCTATACAAACGGACCATTAGTTACATAGAATATTTTATCGTTAGTAATGCTTGATTGTCACCCTAAGGGCTGTGATTAGCATTTTCCTTAAATTTAATACATAAGTCGTGAAGGTTTTTCCTTTGTTAGTTAACATAAAAATAATTAAAAAGGATTTGAAATTCTTATTTTTTCGAATCTTTGATTAAGGTCTCAATCATTCAAGCACTAAGGGCCCGTTTGCTGCTGTTGGCAACAACAACAACAACATCCAAGCCTTAGTCCCAAAAGATTTTGGGGTCGGCTAACATGAATCGATAGATGATATCGTAATCAAAAGGAAAAGAAAGATAAGAAAGATAAGCTATGATAAAAAAAAGATAATATAAAAAGAGATGGATATACATAAAAATGATAGAATAAAAAAGATAAAAATAATATTTATATGTATATAGAGTTAAAAGGATAAAAAACAAGAAAGAAATACAAGATGTGGGGGAAAAGATGATAAGAGATCACTCCTCCACATGAATACCCGCCCTCCACTTTGCTCTCTCCAAAGCCATACCCTCATCCAATCCCCTTCTGTGTGGGTCTTCCTCTCCCTCTCTTCCCTCTCTTCACTGCCTCTTCTCCACACATCTCAACTCGTGTGACATGTGCATCATTAGGTCTTCCCGTTTGCTATCGTTGGCACTTCTCAATTTTTTGTTTTATGATTATGAATGGTGTAAGTTTTTGAATGGCTTAAACACCAGATACACGTGTCTGGCCCGTTTCTTAATTTTTATAAATTGGGAAACACGTTTCCCCCCAAAAACAGAGTTTTGGAATTTTGTTGGCCAAAAATAGAATCTTAATTTAGGAATCAGTTGATGCCTTTTTACATTGAAGTGATCCATCTTCCTTCTGCAAATATAGAAACCCGAACAAATAAAACTTAGATTAAACCTCTTGCCCCTTCAACCTAGTCTTTTCCACCAGTTCGTCAGCTTCGGAAGATGTCCTCATCTTCACTCATCGGCAGGCCGTCGTCTTCAGTGGCTTAGGTTAAGTCCCAAACCTTTAACTCTTTTGCCTTCTGTGACCCGGACTGTTGCTTAACTTCTTCTCTTTTGGGATGGTTTGCTTACTTCATCGATAACAGAATACTCTATGGTAGAATAGTATATTGGGTTTCCGGGTTGCAAAGTCGGTGGTGGATTTGAGATTGTAAATAGATTACTCCGTACTTCGTATTTAGCCTATACTCTTCTAATATGTGGGATTGTCAGATAATGGGTGGAGTTTGATGTTGTGCTTTATGTTATGTTATGAGTTAATATTTAAATAATTAAATATTTCAATATGGTGAGTTATTATTATTATTTAGGATAAACTAATCTTGTGTGGCATGTGTGCACGTATGTATTTTATACGAAGTATGTATATATCCCTATATTTTTTGTATTTACACGTTTCCCCCACGTTTTGTTTCCTATATTTTTTTGAAACGGCGTTTCCCATTTCCGTGATACTTGGTGTATAATATATGATGTGTAATGAACTTAAATCTAAACATACTTGTCATAATTATGTAAACATAGAAAGTTGCCAACCAAAAAACTACCAAAATCAACTTTATCTGGGTTTCAGTATTTTTGTATGTAGCTTTCCAAAAGAAAAAAAAAGATAATGGATGTCTAAAATTCTAAAGTAATAGTTTTCATCTTTGAAAATTGCCGTAAGTAGGAGTAAAAATGTTAAATTTCAAAATACTAGTGCTATCTTTTCCCCACAAATTTGGAGTAATCACTGCCATGTTTGGAAAATACTATAAATGCATATTAACATTATAACAAATTAATATGGCATTAAATACTGCCATATGAATTCCTGGTAATGCCAAATTATGGCAGAATGATGATATCCCTTTCATCTTCTTGGTCTTTGATTTGATCGCTAACTTATCTTTGAATTGACAAAACTCATTTATGCTTTCTGAAACCATATTTACCTTTTGTTTTCCATACTTCGCTTGTTTGGTAGTTGACATTTGAAGAATGCAAAGAAGCTGACTCTGCCAGTGGTAGAGCAAATCATAAGATTTCAAGGGGGATACATGATAAGGTATCTTTCATACTCTTGGATGCTTATATGGTCAGTTTGGAACTCGGAAAATGCTACGGAAAGAAAAATAGAGATTGCAGACAGAATTCAAAAGGAAATAAAATATGCAGAGAAATTAAAAAGTTGCTCATAATACTCAAAATTTAGGATTTTTAAATCTCATTTTATTTAAATATGTTGATTACTCACTCTCTCCAATGCTCCCATTTCACCTCCATCTTTACCTGTCCTACTTTCGTGGTCAGTATGCCCCAATATTATGTTTACTAAAAGTCTAAAATAAGCATAACTAATTAACTATCCTTCTCTTGTTCTGAATCTACCGGTCTACCCTTTAAAATACTCCTGAATTCAAATGAGTTCAGTGGTTGGTGAAGTTCACAAATTTCGGAAAAATAACTGCTACAGGTATCCATCTAGGTACAATGCTGCACCAACCATTTGTGAAACCCTTATCAACATTGTAACCATAGATTATTTTCCTGCAACAAAAGGGACAAAGTAGATCTTTCCCAGATATATAGGAGCATGTGCTGAAGCCTGCAGGGAAATAAATCTCTTGCATCTTTACTTTTCCAATCCCAAGTAGTTAAATTGCTACTCGGTCAAGGGCTGAGTAGCGAGTATGACTGATTCCTCAGGATTACTCGGTGAGTACTCGGTCCTACTTTACTAAAATTACAATTATATTACGTAGTATTATATATGCCACAAAAGTAGAGTAATATCTTCTTCCATTTTGTATAATAGTCACTAATTATTTTATAATCCCATAGTATCCTACGTTGGTTTGAATTTTTCAGATTTAACCTAACAAAATTCTATTATTGCTAACCGAGTTACTTGGCAACTAAACCTAGTCACCAAGTTGTGAAAGTCGATGTGTACTCAGTGGTTAACTCAGAATATTGTTACAGAATAAGTACACTAGTCAACAAGGTTTTACCCTGAGTAGTGAGTAACTGAGCACTCCCTGAGTAATTGCTGGAGTACTCATGAGAAAACCTCAGTTTCTTCTTGTTCTGTGCGGCGGGCAAATTGGATAAGCAGAAGCCATAGGAGTGGAAAGCAATGCTGTGCTCTTTGAGAGGGGTTTTCGATGCCTGTGAAAATTATACTCCACATCATATTGAGGGTAAAACGGGGAAAACCAATTTTTTACTTTTTATATGAGATGTTTAGAATGTGTGCCAGAACTAGATAGGATACTTCAATCAGGACAGAGGGAGTATCTACAGACCAAGAAATATAAGAAACACTTTCCTTGGTCACTGCCCCCACCTTTACCAATTTCCAAGTTCCAAGCATAGCCTTAGTGTTTAATTCTGTGTAGCCTGATAGATGGGAATGACATATGGATTTAAACATAGGGCCATTCTGTGGTGCGAAAACTTAATCCAGATGGCAGAGTTGACACAATGCAAGCTTTGCATAATATTAATGAAGGTATCCAGCTGTCTTGATAGATCTTTTTCAGTATCCAGGATGATAGTTCATGAAACTCTTTCTTCGAATTTGATCTTATTGTAGATGAACTTCCCAGTTTTGAGGAAGCATGGAAGGGAAAGGCTAAACTGCATCTTCCTGGTTGGATGGGGGAGGGGTTGGATGCCGAAAATGCTATAGGTGAGTGAGTTTGTTGCTCATATAACATCTGTATTTTTTTGCGTGGTGACATCATTATTTTGGATTTTTCGTAGATCTGACTAGTATTCTTCAATGGAAGGGATGTTTGATTGATTTTGATTACGATTCATCTTGAAATTTAGAATCAGAATAAAAAAATCAGCTATATGAGAAAATGGTTCTTATCTGCTCTCGATGAAGTTGAAAATAACATGAGTTAATTCCCTAAATGAGAGTAAAAGATGATGTAATTGCAAGAATAGGAGTGTAATGTTCCGTAGGAGTAAAAAGGAAGGGGTTGACAAAATTACCCTTAATGAGCAAATTAGGTTATTTTATTAATAATACAAAATCAAATAATAAAGAACAATCCGAGAGGGCAACGTAACAGTCCCCTGACACTGAACATCCGCCGCCGCCTCAACTGCCACCGCCGGTGCCGCTGCCACCGCCGGTGTCATCGCCGGTGCCGGTGCCGGTGCCGGTGCCGGTGCCTCCGCCGGTGCCGCCGCCGGTGCCGGTGCCGGTGCCGGTGCCGCCGCCGGTGCCGGTGCCGGTGCCGGTGCCGCCGCCGGTGCCGGTGCCGGTGCCGGTGCCGCCGCCGGTGCCGGTGCCGGTGCCGCCGCCGGTGCCGCCGCCGGTGCCGGTGCCGCCGCCGGTGCCGCCGCCGGTGCCGCCGCCGGTGCCGCCGCCGGTGCCGCCTCCGCCAACACATGCGCCACAGGAAGCCCAATCGGTGACCCCATCTGGTCTTGCCGTCAGCCACCTCCATATCCGACGTCTTCACCGCCGCCTCATCCAACACCACCATCTCTCACCTTCGTGAACGGTGCGACCTCTGGCACCGCCGCCTACACAACCACCGTAGATCTTAGATCAGATTTTGAATCTGGTATGACTACCAATCAATTGCCATCTTACAGTTGTAATGTTATCCTAATGGTACAATTGACATTTTTAATTAAAAAACATGGCATTAATGTATTATCAGATGAGAAGTATTGTCATCTTTGTTACATTAATGCCATACCAACGAAAAACATGGCATTAAAATTTACATTATTTGATAAAAAATCATGGCATTTAAGTGCAGAAACATGGCATACTATTTTAATTTGATGAAAAGATTCAAACAAAAAATTAGTGTAAAAATTTATGAAAAACATTGCTTGAAAGCAACGTACAATTGCAATGTTAAAAATTAAATAAAAAATCAAAAAACAAAAATGAAAAGAAAATTGAAAGAGAAAAATTAGAAGAAAGCAAGGAAAGCAGGTCGAAGTAGATAGATCTAGAAAAAGTAGACAACTGGAGCAAAAACAAATAAATAGAAATTGGTTGTAATGGTGAACAAGCTTCCTGTACCGCACAAGAAGGATCTACTGCACCAGAAAAAGAAAGGCGAAGAAGGGGGAAGAAGGAGAAGAAACAAGAAAATTAAAACTTACCTCTTAAAACCGCCGCTGCCCGCCGGTAGCAAAAGTTGAGGAGCGAAATTCATCATCCACACCTTCGTAATTCACCGAAGATGGGGGAATTAATCGGAGAAAAAATCTGGATATCAATTTGAGAGAGAAATGTTAGAGGATGGAGAGAAGAATGGAATGGATGAGATGGGAAAAGGGCTATGGCACTAGAAATGCAGGTAGAAAAATAAATCAATTTTAGGTTAGTTGAGGGTAAATTTGGAAAAATAAACGGGCAGTCAATTATTAACTCCTATTTGGAGAATAAATTAACAAGTACTCCTATTTAGGAATTTATTCATTATTTTAGTCCTATTAAGGACAATATCTTAAATAACATTGCAGTGTAGTGTTTGGGCCATGTACTGTCTTCAATTGATTAGTGTATACAATGATTAGAAGGGGGTGTGCCGGTTGTGCTCAATATCTTTATGCTGTAATATTGAACCCACAAAAATGGTTTTGTTCTCCACATTTACAATGTTTCTTCTCGAGCCCATATCCCTTAGAATGCAAACTTGTAAATTAAGCTTCAAACATGATTTTTTTGTGGGGGAAGGGGGAGTTTTTTCCCAAAAGGAGGGTAGTCTCCAATCTTATTTCCCGATTAAGGGTACTTTTAAATTTATTTCCCAAATGAGGGTAGTTTTATCCTTGTCATCCAATTTCCACCACATCACCTACTCCACATCATTAACCGTCATCAACCATTCCACGTCATCAGCCATATGGGTATTCTTTCAAAATATAAAAAAAAATCGTAGCCCCCGAGAATTGAACTCACGATCAAAATGATGCTTTTGCATTTTGGAACCCACTATGCTACAATGACCCGTTGGTACAATCACACATTTACAAGTATTAAACATCTATACATGCAACGTATTTTGATATATGCAATTCAAATATAATTTAAAATAACTCGACATTAATTAAATAAAATGGGAAACAAAAATGACAACGGCTGGACTAATTCATCCCATATTTAATAAAAAATCTTATACAACTAATTAATGCGTAACATGTAAAAATATAAAATTACGTTTTTGTTATGATTTTCAATTGAGTGTTAATTTTTAATTGTATATCTCAAATTACTTTTGGGACTAAGGCTTGGATGTTGTTGTTATATATCTCAAATTAAGTATTTATGATATTCTTCTTTTAACGTTATGTTATCATATTCTTTAATTGTTTGAAGAATGAGTAATATATCTCTAAAGGAACGATTAATATATGAATTAAGTTGATGATGTCTTATGCTTAAATATTACGGAGTAGTAGTATATGTCAAATAAATGTCAATATAGGTTCAAATCCATCGCAGACTTGTAAAATACTTAAATTATGATTGTAAAAAAATTGTATTTCAGTGTTGGATTTTTTTAATTTTTGTCATGGAATTTATATTTTTACATGTTTACGCATTAGTAATATAATATTTTTTTTATTAAAACTGGGATGATTTAGTCCAGCCGTTGTCATTTTTGTTTCTCATTCTATTTAATTAATGTAGAGTTATTTTAAATTATATTTGATAATTTGAATTGCATATATCAAAATACGTTGCATGTATAGATGTTAAATATTTGTAAATGTGTGCGTATACCAAAAAGTCATTGTAGCCTAGTTGATTCCAAGGTGCAAAAGCATCATTTTAGTCGTGAGTTCAATTCCGGAGGGCTATGAATTTTTTTATACCCATATGGGTGATGACGTGGAATGATTGAAGACGTTGAATGATGTGGAGTAGGTGATGTGGCAAAAATTGGATGACAAGGAAAAAACTACCCTCATTTGGAAAATAAGTTTAAAAGTACCCTTAATTGGGAAATAAGATTTGAGACTACCCTCCTTTGGGAAAAAACTAGGGGAAGGGGGGTTGGGGTTGGGGGGAGAGCAAGAGGTATGATTTGAACACGCCACTGTAAATTTTCTGTTTTCATTCCAGTGAGATGAAAAGGTGTCTGTTTAATATTTTAAAAGTACTGTAATTATGTTATGTACCCGGAGTATATGTTTGTATATATAGGAGTTGGAAGCAGTGGTGGGGTGAGCAGGGCGGGAGGCAGGGGAGGGTGGGCACTTCCTTCAACAGAGAGAACAATGCAATATCATCGGTCCAAGTCAAAGTTCAAATACGAAGGAGGAGATAGAACCGCGGCAGCAGGTCAGTATGTGCACCAGCAACCAACTGGTGCAATAGTGAAAGAGCACAACAGTATGGGGAGACATATCAACCGCGGCGACGACGACTTCAGCATCAACAAGTAAATATATCAATGTCCTCATAAACCATACACACCCACAATATTCCCTCTAGGTGGCACCTTTTGGCATTTACTTATTCAGTAATAAAAATTCTGCTATAGTTGCCCCTCAACAATTGCAGACTAAAACTTGCGATTATCTATATTTTATAACATAAATATATGTACTAATCATCTTCTAACTATTCACGATTTAGAATTATTATTCTCATTATTAAAATAGTTAGAAAATCATGATTATGATTTCTAAGGTGGGTGATAATGTGGCACACAATTTCTCCTACAAATAGGAGTCTTCAATTCTTCATAATATTCGCACAAATCATCACAATATTCATAATATAGTCTCTCCTAATCTTCTATTAGTTCTTTCTCCCATTTCTGAACACATAACATCAGAAATTTGCTTTGAGTTCTTGAAATTGTCCTCTTCCCAAAAAATATATGTAGATAACCAAAGTTGCTTCAGGTGGCTTTGAACAATGTTTAATAGATAGTGTCACAATGGCACTCCATTTTGAGACTCATATGACATTAGTTGAAACAAATGTCAATACAATCTCAGGTGTTGTCAATCTCATTAATAACAAGAAGGCACATGTTTATCGTGTTTGAAAATCAAAGGGAAAACTGTCAAATAGGTCCTCACGAAAAAGTCAACTGAGTCCTACTATTTTTGAAGTCAATTAAGTCCATCAAGTTGGAAAAAATAACCAATTTCGTCATTTGAGCGGTAAGCAGCCAGTAACTCCCAGTAGCTTCTGATGTGGAAGCCCATGTGGCAATATTTTTAGTTTTTCCATTTCTTTTCTTTTTTGCTTTCCTCTTTCTTCTCTGATTCTCTCATAGACCACCTCTTCTTCTTCCCTAATCTCCCCTACGTTTTTTCTTTCATTCTTTTTTATTTCTTTCTTACTTTTTTTCTTTGTTCTATTTCTTTCCACCATAAACTGCTGGCAACCAACTCTTCTCATCCGCCGCCATTGTTTCATCGTCACCCAGAACCTTTCAGCCGCCGCGCGGCATCGGTCGCTCAAAACTTTCCCAACCACCATTGGTGGACTCCTTGATGGCCATACTTCTCCAATCTGGCATCGATCTTCCACAACCAAAGTTTGACCAGCCGCCGCCAAGTGACGTCCTTCCCAACGGATGCCACAGCTTCTCAACCGCCGACAGCCATCCAAGAAAGAGAATCGGGAAGAATGGAAGATAAGAATGAAAAAGAAATTGGAAAATAAAGAAATTGGGATAAGGTAGAAAATCAGGAGGAGAAGGATAGTGAACCGGAAGGAAAGAAAAAAGAAAAAGAGGAGGGACGAAATGTACTGGTATGAAGCAAACTGGGAAGAAGATGTCTGCAAGAAAGAAGATGGTTCACCTGTTCAGCAGAGAAAGAAGCAAAGAAAAAGAAAAGAAAAGAAAAGAGGGGGAAAAGGGGGAAAGAAGGAAAAATTAAAAGTTTTGCCACGTGGGCTTCCACATTAGGAGGTATATGGGTTACCGTCTGCTTACCGGTTAAACAACAGATTTGGTTAATTTTTTGAACTTGGTGGACTTGATTGACTCGAAAAATAGTAAAAGGACTCAATTGACAATTTTCCCAAAATCAAAAGGAATACTTATTTGTCATGATGAATAAATCTCGCAATAAATACATTTGTGAAAAACTATCAGCATATTTCTCAGGGCTATATTATAAATGTATTAGTCCAAATGAGATTAGGGGTGATTCGGCATACCGAATATTTTCTCCCATACATTTGTTGTACCGAAACTTTCGGTAAATTTATGTACCGTTACTGTACTGAATACTAAAATTTCGGTTCGGTAACAGTACGATATCAAATATTATCGTGCATGTGTCTCAATGACTTAACATAACAAATTATTATAAACTACCAAGATATACAAAATCGGTGCTACTAGAGACATACTCAAAATATGTGTCTCAACATATTATCGTCCATTATTAAAACTAGTATATTACCCGTGCGATGCACGGGAAATAATATCTCATCTTTAAAAATAAATTTTTGAAAAATATATATGAATCGAATAATTTTTATGTAGGATAATAAATTGTCATATAGTACATTTGTTGTAGTTTATTAGATGTAATACAAAGTATGATTTATCAGGTTAACTAAAACCAACCATATTATAATAAAGTATGAAATACATATTACTTTCTCCGTTCCATAAAATAGTTCCTGCATTGACTTGGATCAATGTTTAAGAAAATGGGAATAAAGTGAAAATGTATGATTGTGGTTGAGTAAGAAAAAAGTAAATGAATGGTAGACACAAAAAATTTTCCAAAAAAGGAAATAGGAAATATTTTTTGGAATGACCCAAAAAGGAAACTGAGAACTATTTTGCGAGACGAATGAAGTACTAATTTCATAGTGAATGATAAAATAAAATATATAAATGTTTACAATTTCGAAACACTTCTTTAAAAACGGACATTTGTTGTCATTCAACCATTTAAAAACAACACTTCCACAATTTATTTTTGATGCGTACTTATAAATAATGTTCATCGATCACAATAAAACCCTATTGATTATTTTAACAAATATACGTGACTACGTGAGCCCATTCCGTTCACAATTTTTACTACACTACATAATTTATTAGCTGCATTTATTTCGCCCACTTCTCTATCTCGTCGTTCTAAAAGCTACAAAATTTTGAATCAAAAGAAAGCATTAATTAATGATTATTAACATCAATTGATCCACAGCCCGCAGCTCTAAGAAAATAAGGATTACAACAACAAATTAATGGCTTTCTAAAGATTGTTTATTTTGCTACTACAATCCATGCACAACATGAAGTTATAAAAGGTTTCCTATTTTTAGTATGAATTTAAGAGAAACTCAAAATTTCCTTAAAATTAATATCTTTTAAACAATAAACTAAAAAAAAGATTTAAAGTAATGTTCAGATTTGTACATAAAAGTAAAACCATAAATTCATCAAGTATATTACGAAACATTTAAATCTTGGTTCTTAAATGGCACTTATAATTGTTATATCATGGATGTTTTTTTATTTTTGAAAAAATCAATAGTTTGTATTTGCTCTCTTATTGAAGAAAGGTGATGAATAAATGTATTTATCCATTACTTCCTCTGTAACATTTATATCTTCTCACTTTCTTATATCTTCTCACTTTCTTTTTCGGTCATAATATTCATATTTTCTCACTTTCTTTTTCGGTCATAATATTCATATTTTCTCACTTTCTTTTTTAGTCGTAACCTTTTTCCTCTCATTTCTAAATATTCCTATCAAACCTTCAATAACTTTGAAAATAATACACTATTACAACTTTTTGGGGGGATTTATCCTCTATTCTAAAACACTATTGCATCATCTTCCCGTCATACTCTCAATTCCAACACAACTATTATGAATTGATGGCAACATTTGTTATTAAACATGACATTAAACATTTGTGAGTAGTAATGTTTTTTAACTTCATAAGCAATTTTTTTAACTTTAAACATTTGTGAGTAGCAATGTTTTCCAACTTCACAAGTAACTTAAAATTCTAAGTAACCCGCGCCGATGGTTTAAAATTACAACTTTAAAATTACAAAATACTACAGTACTACATATCCATTATATTACACAAACATAACATTTCAGACTTTTCTGAAGTACAAAAATAAAAACATTATCTAAAACATTTAATTGCACCAATAGTGATATAAGTCTCTTCAATATCTCTGAATAACCAGTTTCAGAAAGACATCGTATTGTTGAAATATTTGTACGTCCCACACCGGATAGCTATAAAACAATAAAACACTATAAGGATTTGGGCTACTCCTCCTATCAGGTTGATCTTTTAGGATGGAACCCCAAATCTTAGCATGGTATCAGAGCCAAGTCCGGTTGTGGTTTGACTGCTTGTTTAGCACCAATGATTAAAGGTAGCTTGTTAAGGGTCTGTTTGGCTCACTTATACACCCCAATATTGTCTAGCCCGGTTCGGGCTGAGGGGGCGTGTTGAAATATTTGTCCCACACCGGAAAGCTATAAGACAATAAAACACTATATAAGGATTTGGGCTACTCCTTCTATCAGGTTGACCTTTTAGATGAAACCCCGAGTCTTAACACGTATGCAGCATATATAGAATTCATAATTAGTTTGTATTATAGATACTCCGTATAAAACTAAAACATCCAAGCTCCAATTCATTACCGCTTCACACTATCTAGTGGAAAATGACATTAAATAGATGATGCTCTCTATCAATATAATAAATATCAATATAATAAATAGTAACCAAAATCACAAACCCATAATTAAACAAAAACTTCACACCTTGAGCAAAAGATGCAGAAAGTTCAACGACCCAATATAATGTTGAAGCTAAACCAATGCTTCATAAACAAACCAAATGTTATCAAACACCTATTTAAATGAACCATTACATTAAACAATTTGTTTACCTGATCATCATTCTTAGCTCCTTGTTGGTTGGGCAGAAGCTAGAAGCTATGAAATACTGGAAAAGAATCAAAGCTTTTAATTTGTCTTGTTGCCCAACAAAGCGCGCAATAAGGTGATATTTCGAGGATGAAGACGGTGAAAGAGGTGAACGGCGGCGGAGGATTAAAGGAAGGGAAGGGGGTGGAGGAGAGACACACCTCGATGGTAGAGGAGAGGTGGGTGAGAGTGTGAGACGCTCGAAGACGGCCATCTTGTGGGTGAGCTTGTGTATGTGTGGACATCCGCTGCGGTGGCGAGACGAATGCGGGTGAACGTACAATGAATTGCCCGTTGGGAGCAGCTCCTCCATGATGACGTCGGGGGCTGAGCTTGAGCTGGGTGGAGGTGGAGGAACGTCGGCGGCCATCTTCTGCGGTTCTGAAGCGTACATTCAGAGGAGTGTAGAAGAAATGTTCAGAAGAGCGTTCTAGTACTTTGAGTGTCATCGTATTTAATAGGGAAACTAAAAGCCTTGCAACATACAAATACTCCGTAATTAATTTCCCTAGGGAAACTAAACGGCCAAAGCAATTAAAGATCCCAATTCTCAAGCGTATTACACCATGCCCGTTCAACTTTTTTTGCTTAAGCGTACATAGCACATCCGCTCAAATTGGCGCCCACATAAGTCCTGCACTATTCCGTTTTTAAATATATACAGATGTTACAAAATAAAAATAATAATCTATTGTCATATTCAATATTGTACAATAATTAGTAGTAGTATATTTAAGCAGTTAAACATGTCACATATTAAAATATTATTTTGCATCCCATTTTATTGTTCAAATTGGACTTTGCACCCCGTTAACAAAAATGTTTGTTTTTGCACTCTCAACCCTGTATGAAAAGACAAAAATGCCTCTCCATTAAAATTCTATTGACCTTCAACATATTCCTGATCGAGGGGCATTCTTGTCTTTTCAGGATCGGGATGCAAAAATAAAGTTTTATAAAAACGGGGTGCAAAGTCCAATTTGAAAAATAAAGTGGGATGTGAACTCAAATTACCCCTAAAAACAATACATTCTACTAAAATAACTTAAACAATATAGATATAATTACATTATTAGTGATCTCACAAAAAAATAAAATCACTCAAACAACATGAATATCAAATCATTTATTTCTAATATGATGTTGTGTATTTAGTCATTTTTATAATTTCAAAAATATTTGAGTAGGACTCTCGGTTTAACGGTACAGCTGATTGCAGTACGATATGGTACCATACCGAAAATGTTGGTATACCCAAATTGTTGATAAATCAGGTATTTTTCGATATGGTAAGTGCGGTATACTGCAATTTCGGTATTTTTTCCCAGCCTTTATTGAGACAATGTGGTATCTAATAAAAGGATTAATGACCACATTACCTTTATCTTGTGACACGATTGTTTAGATCATCTGTGCAGTGTCATGATGTACAAAATAATTGAAAATGTACTTGGACATTCATTAAATAATGTAAAGATTTCCTAATCAATTAATTTTGCATGTGTTGACATTTCTCTTAGCCAAATTGATTGTCAGACCATCTTTATGTAAAATCGAAGTTGATTCTCGTATTTTTAGAAAGAGTTCAAAGAGATAATTGTGGACTTATTGCCCCTTTGTATGGGCCATTGGTTACACGATAATTTTTTATCGAATATAAATTTTGTATTTGCATACCTCCTTACTCAGACATTGGTTACACAATACTGATGGAGTATATGGGTCTGAGCCCCCGGACCCACATACTCGGAAGAACAGAAAGCATAAGACAACAAAGTGGCGCCCTCGTCGGCCAAGACGCCCCCGTCGGCCGAAAAGGGGCCAACTCGGATTATGATCCTGAGCCCAAGGAACCCGGGTGCCCTCATCGGCCGCGCCCTCGTCGGCCACGCCCTCGTCGGCCACGAAGACCTCCCAGAACCGGATTTTACACTTACTCATTTGTACAGCCCATTAATGGCTTTGTATTCGGCCCAGTAGCGGTCCAGTTGTAAATGGGCCTCCCAAGCCCAAGACTTGGGAGCCCAGCCCTAATTTTCTCTATAAATACTCCCCTTGGGAGTAGTTATAGGGGTTACGAATTCATTCTATTGAAGCATATTATTGCACTTCTCTCTCTAGCTCTCACTTCTCTCTAGATATACTCTATCATTTGGTGCTCTCGTTGAGAGGCTAGAACAATCAAGTTAGCACCCTTCGTCGCTACCAAGCACAGCTAACCACTGATCATGGGGAGAACTAAGTCAAACCGCAACCTCGTCAGCAAAGACATCCCTGAGGACCAAGAGCCCAGGGAGCACGATGAGGACGCCACGGCCGACCAGGCCGGCGGAGGGGACCTCTTCCAGGAGGCCTTCAACCTCACGACGGACCTCCGCAACCAACTCAACGGCGGAGCCCCTGATGCCCGCCTCGGCTTGGACAAGAAGCGAGCTGAGAAGACGGATCACGCCCCGGCCCAGCCTATGGCCGTGGCCTCTCCGTCCGTGGACCCACAGGTCCAGGCCGCGCTGTCGGCCATCATCGCCAGCCTAGCTCAGAACCCCACCGTCCTCAGCGCACTCTTGCCAAGGACCGGGGGGAACGTCACTCAACCCCCTCAGCCCCAACCGTTGGCCGTCTAGATAGGCAACGATGAGGGGGTGGTGGCCCAGGACACGGCGTCGTCCCACTCCCACCCTGTTTCCCCTCTTCGGCCTGGGCAGACCCCAGCGCGTGGAAAAGCCTCTGCCTTCAATAGGCTAGGTGACACGCGCCGTCGTCCGGTTTCGGAGAGGATGGCGGGACGGATTGGTGATCCTCGTCCTGGCTCGCCGAGGGAAAGCTTGGGGTCTGTGTCCCGGACAGCGGACCAGCCCCGCCCGGACAAGGGCAAGGGAAAGTTGCACGAGGATGACGTGTGTCACCAGATCAACGCGGCTCACAACGAGTGCATGAGGAACCAGTCGGGCGCCGCTGCGGCCGCCAGGGACCCCCGGGACGAAGTCATCGCCCAGCTGGAAAGGAGACTGGCTCAGATGGAGGCCAAGCAGTCGGCCAACATCCCTACGGCCGGCGCCTCCAACGACCCCGGCCTCAACGCGCTCATGAACAAGGTTAGCGCCCTGGAGAGGGAGCTGGCCGAGGGGCGAGGTGACCCCATCATCCAGGTCAGGACCAGGACCCCTTTCACCAACAGGGTCCTCTCGGCCCCCATCCCGGAGAAGTACAGGGGGAACGCCATCAAGTCCTACGATGGCCGATCAGACCCCCAGGAGCACTTCAGCCGTTACCAGAACAACATGTTGATGGTGAACGCGTCCGACGAATACCTCTGTCGTTGGTTCCTCTCTACTCTCGAGGGGCCAACGTACGAGTGGTTCAACGGGCTCCCCGAAGGGAGCATCGACTCATGGCAGGATCTCGCCCAGCGCTTCCTCACTCACTTTGCCGGGAGGAAGCGCGCGAAGAAGTATTTCACCCACCTCCTCTCCGTCAAGCAGCAGCACGAGGAGTCCCTCCGGTCTTTCATTGATCGGTGGACGAGGGAAACCGAGGAGGTCGAGGGGGCCGATGAGCGCACCCTCCTCGCCTTGTATCAGGGAGCCCTCCGCAGCTCCCCGTACGCTAGGAGCCTCATCACCGACCCCCCGAGGTCGTACGCCAAGGCGCTCCAGCGCGGAGGCTTGTATGCCGACGCCGACGAGCTCCACAATCACAAGAGAGAGGGGGGCCATCCCTCCAAGAAGACAAATCCTTCGCCGGCCTCGGGTCCGTCCCCGGCCGGCCAGGGTGCCCAGGGCCGTCACGGCTCTGGTGGACAGAGTAAGAAGGATCGCCACTGGCGTCCGAGGTTGGAACGGCCGGGGGTAACCCTCACCCACCCGGTCGGCACCATCCTCGATTATGCCGAGAAGCACGGCCTCATCGAGCAGGCTCCTCGGCCGGCCGAGGAGATCCTTGCCATCCAGCAGGGCGGCACATACTGCCGGTTCCACAAGAACTCGTCGCACAACACCGACGAGTGCATCACACTGAAGAAGGCCATCGAGCGCCTTATTCGCCAGGGGGAACTCTCCCAGTTTGTCAAAGGTGGCCCACGCAAGAACACTTGGGTAAACACCGGCAAACATGGGGGCGAACCCTCTGCGAAGAAGCGGGAGATTGGTAGGCTCAGCGACGACGAGGACTTCGAAGAGCCCCCGCCGAAGAAGAATCACATCCACCTCATCGTAGGTGGGAACACTGGGAGGGACTCCGCCACTCAGAGAAAGAAATGGGCCCAATCCCTTTACATTGGGGAGGTGTCCCACGTTCCCCCCAGCCGAAGAAGCAGCGAACGGAGGCGATCACCTTCACCGACAAGGATCTGCCTCCGGGTACGGAATCACACAGGGACGCCCTCGTCATCCGATGTGAGATCGGTGACTCCATCATCCACCGTACTTACATCGATACGGGGAGCTCCGTCAACGTGATGTACCTGGACACCTTCAAGCAGCTGAAGCTGGACAGAGCTCTGCTGAAGCCGATCAAGACCCCGTTATCCGGCTTCACCGGGGACTCTATCGACGCCGAGGGCACGATAGTCCTCCCCGTGGAGGTCGGTGACGGCCCCCACCACGCCAGAATTAACATGGAGTTCATGGTGGTCAACCTCCAGTGCGCCCACAACCTGATCTTGGGGCGGCCAGCGCTGGAGGACTTGGAGGCCATCATCTCCATGAAGCACTTGTGCCTAAAGTTCCCCACCAACGACGGCATCGGCTACGCCAGAGGAAACCAGAGGATAGCCAGGGCATGCTACCTCAAACTGACGAGGCCGGCCGAGAGGGAAGGCCAGAGTATAGACACCATCACGGCCGCCGTCGCCATGGACGAGGAAAGGCCACATGCTGAGCCGGCCGAGGAGGTCGAGGAAATCCCTCTGGATACCTCCCGGCCGGAGCGGGTTCTCAGAGTCGGAAAGCAACTCCCCCAGGACCAACGAGACGCCATCCTCCTCGTCCTACGGTCATACGCCATTGTCTTCGCGTGGGGCCCGGACGATATGCCAGGCATCAGCCGCCAGGTGATCACTCACCGGCTGACCGTCGATCCGGCCTCCGCGCCTGTCAAACAGAAGCGGCGCTACTTGTCCGCCGACAGGCGGGACTTCGTCAAAGGGGAGGTCGCCATGCTCCTCTCAATCAAACACATTAAAGAGGTGAAGTACTCGACGTGGTTGGCCAATGTCGTCCTCGCCCACAAACCGCCGACATTCAGGATGTGTGTTGATTACACTGACCTGAACAAGGCGTGCCCCATGGACCCGTTCCCTCTCCCCAACATTGATCAGCTGGTGGACGAGACGGCGGGGTGCGAGTTGATGTCGTTCCTCGACGCTTTCAGAGGGTACCACCAAATCTCCATGCATGAAGATGATGCTGAGAAGACGGCATTCATGACCCCAGAGGGAATCTTTTGCTACCTCGTCATGGCCTTCAGACTCAAAAACTCCGGCGCCACCTATACTAAGATGGTGGCCAAGATCTTCAGAGCGGTCCTTGGCCGGACGATGG